ACTGAGATGTATTTACTGATCACTGTGAGATGTAATCATCATCAAACGTGTCGAGCTACTTAAACTGGCTGAGGAGAGCATTGCAACTTAATCGATCTGATTAGGTCCGTCAAAAAAATGACTAGATGAATAAAATCAAAAAGAAATTGATTAGTGTGCAGGGTACAAATCACTCTTACACAAATGGATAGACAGACAGATACAAGGCAGAACTTCGTACGTAAGAACATCAGTTAAGGTTGCCATACCACGTCATAACGAGAAGGGTAGAGATAATGAGGAATGCAGAAGCTTAGAATTTCATAGAACACAAAGAGTGGATGCACCTGCGCCATTGCAAATGATTCTGAGCCATGTCATTCAAGGTCTCTAACCATTGGTGACTATCGTCTCGTGGACCCCAAACAGGTAGCTTACATCTATCAACATGAATCAGTCCACTTGTCAGTGACTTCATGGATTTGTACCACGTTTTGGTTTGGCCACCTCTAGCTTTCTTCCAATATACTCCTACATTGCAAAACATAGCTCGTCGAGGCAGTCGGTGGTTAGTCTTCGTAACACATGTCCCAACCACCTCAACTGATGAAGTTTCAATGCTTCATCTATTGATTTGCCATCCTTACCTAGAACTCGTTTCCTAACAACATCATTGCTTATACGGTTGTCCCATGATACACGAGCAATGCTTCGGAGACACCGATGATCGAAAACTAGTAAACTACGGAAGTCCTCTACTCTTAACGGCCAAGTCTCGCATCCGTACAGTAGGACGGAGAGAACTGCTTCACAGTACACTCGTCCTTTGGTTAGCAAACGGATATCTCGCTTACACCATAAGTGACGCAGGTTGGCAAAAGTCAATCGAGCCTTCTGTATCCGAGCTGAAATTTTGTCGGTCGCCAGGCCATCCGCACTGATGAGACTCCGAAGATAAATGAAGCGGTCTACACGTTCGACTACTTCACTCTTTTGTCACTAGTTCAGAACGAAGCCTGTTGCCCTAGTTGACATAATGTACGTACATGAAATGCTCTAACATGTAGTCTAGAACGGGGTTTCAGGAGACCAGAAATGACGCTTCGTAAACTCACATTGTTCTCATTAGCTGTGCACTGTGATAAAGGAGTGTGAGAAGAGTTAGTCGTGCAGGAAGGATTGAAACCTTTCTGACTGACTGACTGACTTACGAGTTGTTGTACATTCGATGGAGGAATAATTGAAAACTACATTCATGTTTAACTATGTATGGGCAAACTATTGTCTATAGCTCTAAATTTACACACTGGCCATACAAACTGTACAACAATGTCACACGTCATATAATAAGCTCATGAAATAATTAAAAACTTTTAATGAATTGTATCTTATATTAATTATATCGCCTTAGGTTTACGAAAACAAGTATTACGACGTAACAACATAGAAAGAAGCACTTTAATATTCAAAGAAAATGTTATATGACCAGATTAAACAGTTTATGGAAAAAATATGTAGACCTTATCTTCAGGTCTTCATTTGCATAAACAAACATACGATTGGCTGACTTCTTTCATATTACCTTCTAGTCTAGTCTTTTGATCGTGTCATACATCCGGATTTGACATTGTTCACTTCAACAGTAACATCTGGACAACAACACCACCCGCCGTTGCATACTACTACTTACAAGCTACGTTGCAAGTAGTATAAACCGCAATAAAACATATTCTTATATATATATATATATATATATATATATATATATATATATATATATATATATATATATATATATATATATATATATTCCAACTCAGTGACCTAGAGTTGAAGCGTTTACTTGCAAGACCGAAGATCCTGTGTTTGAATCCTTGTCAGGGTGTAGACAGTGTAACTGCCGAAGACAAATCGGTGAGGTTGATCAAAATTAGACATTAACACTGTTCTATTCCCGGCTCAGTGGTCTAGATGTTAAACGTTCACACGAGCTAAACTCAAGGTCCTGAATTCGATCGAACCCTGCAAGTAGCTAGTGTCGCGGATGCATACTACCACTGATGGGTCAGTCCTATATCCGGACTTCCAGGGTTCTAGTGGTTGTCTGACAATGTGATTCATTCATGATTTCAAAGAATATTTATATCAGTGATTTTATATTTTGTAAACAAGCTTTTTTGGAAAATTTCAGCAAACTACCTAATTTGATACGTGTTGGATGCCACGTAATTCAATATCTAGTATTGATAACTTGAACGGTAGATTATTGAATAACTACTTTTCATTCAAAGTTCAATTTAATGCGGAGCTATTTATGCAAGCTTGCTAGCACATATAATCTAATGATGTAATTTAAATATTTATGAATATGGTTTATGCCAAAACTTCAAATTTTTGGGCAGAGTTTTAGAGGTTTGCGTTTTTAGACATTTGAAATCATCAATCAATCATTGTTAGACCACCATTAGAAACCCACATGCACTGAACGGCCGTTTCGTCCTGGTATGGAACTCATCAGCAGCGTCAATGCGCATCCACGACTCCTGCACCTCACAGGATTCGAACCCGGGACCTTCAGTACTGTGCGCGAACACCTAACCATCGGACCAGTGGGCCGGCATCCAACAGTGTTAATGTCTAACTCTGATTGATCTACGGATTTTGCGCCACCTCACCCATTTGTCTTTGGTAGTTTCTACCTACACCCGACAGGATTGAGCTAGTTGAACTGGTTAGGCGTTCGCGCACAATACCAAAGGTCCCGGGTTCGAATCCTGCGAGGTGCAGGGGTCGTGGGTGTGCACTGCCACTGATGAGTCCCATGCCAGGAATTTTTAGTACAAATATCAAGATAGTTCTAACTGTATGAGGCGGAAACTTGGCGAATCACAAAGGTCATCATCCACCAGATACAAGTGTTTATTAATAGTTTTCTACGCAAAATACTTCGGATCCTTTGGCCAGACACCATCAACAACAACCTACTGTGAGAAAGAACTAATCAGATCCCAGGTGGGGGAGAAATAAGATGAAGCGCTGGAAATGGATAGGACACACATTGAGGCAATCACCCAGCTGCTTCATAAGACAAACCCTCACTTGCAATCCTCAAGGCCACAGGAAAAGTAGAAGACCAAACAACAAATTAGGTCGAGAAATGGAAGCAAACGTTAGGTCGGATTGGCTAAGAAGTTCCTAGACAGTCAGTCAGTCAACTACAACGAGGGACTTCGCATAGATGTACGTTAGTTCAGGTTGTCATATCGCATTAGCATATGTGACCGGGCCTGAAGCAGTTATCCCTTGGGCTCTGTGGTCATGCTCCTAGGTCTCCAAGACGAACACTAATCTATCTACCTTCCTTTTCAGGTCCCTTAAAGGTCAGAGAATGTTGGTCAGAGCTCAATGCTCTATTAGGAGTGATAGGTGTAAATAAATAAGTAAGTAAGTAAGTATCACTATTATACATAACGTATTTGTATAAATATGTGTGCGTATGTTGTGAAGTGCTAAACGACAAGTGAAGTTTTGTTTACTTTCATGTCACTATTTTCGTTGTCATAATCATAGTATTAATTATTCTCATCGTGTCATATCAGTAAACTGTCTAGGTTTATTGACCTAATGATCATTGTGTGTTTGTTTGTGTGTGTGTGCGTGTGCGTGTTATGATTACGAGTGATTTTGTCTCATTGAATATTGTCATACAAAAATAAAACTGACCCGTTGTTTACCATGTCTATTTCATGTCTACTAGACTTGGCATCTTATGAACCAAAAAAAAATGAAAAATCGACTTCATACTATGAACAATTCGACAGTGAAACAAAGACATTAACACCGTTGGATGCCGACCCACTGGTCTGATAGTTAGGTTTTCGCGCACAATACCGAAGGTCCCGGGTTCGAATCCTGTGAGGTGCAGCAGGAGTCGTAGATGCGCATTGTCACTGCTGATGAGTCCCATACCAGGACGAAAACGGCCATCCAGTGCTTCCTGGTTTCTAGTGGTAGTTTAACAATGACTGATGGATGATTTCAAATGTGTAAAAACACAAAATCTCTAAAACTCTAACAGAAATACAACTTAAAAGAAAATAGCAACACAACAACAAATCAACGAGAAGGAAAAAAAATTTTTTTCTGTTCAAAGGTTGAATGAAAAAAGGCGAAAAAAATAATCATAACCAATCCAGCCGAAAAAAAACTGTATGGTAATTTTGATTGCCTGGTATTATTTGTGTATAGAATTTTATCACAGTGTGTTAACACTCTTCTTTTCTCTCCTCTCCTCTCTATTTCACATGCGCTCTCGCTCTCCATTTCCTTGTCCATTCATGTATTATTCTAGCAGAAATGTTACTCTTTTTTTTGTCTAGTTTCGACAATGGTGTGTATGTGTTTGTTAGAGTGGGGGAGGGGGAGGGTGAGGAAATATGAAAGATTACAATGTGCAATTAGGAAATAACAACACTCATACACACATCTGTTAATATAACTGTTATTGTGCATATATCTATCTATATATTTATATATGTGTGTATGTATGTATGTTATTAGATATGAATGGTTGTTAAATAGACTTTCGAAAGTTCACACCAATAAATTTAGATCTGTTATTATTAATAAATATAAAGAACAAGTGTGAAAGCATTGCTATTGGTTAAAAAGTGTTTTTTGTTTTTCATGCTAATAATTATCCATCCATCCCCCTTTCAATGTTGAATATTAATATATGTACAAATAAATATTTTGATATCCAATCGTTTTGACCAGTTAATTTGAAAGAGGTGTGTGTGTGTGAACGTGTGATTATGTGTGTATGTGTGTGTGTGTGTGTGAGAGAGAGAGTAAGAAAGTTTGCGTGAATACAATTAGTTAGTTAGTTAGTTCATTTAAACACTTATCAATGGAACATTATTGCTTTTAAAGAATTATAAAAGTAAAAACCAAATAAAACTACAATTCATTGTACATTGTACATTGTACACTACTGTGGCAACAATAATTACTCACAAATTATGTTGATTAGTCAAAAAACACCAAATCTATGTTTTACTGATAAATCGTCAACAATGAATTTATCAAGTCAATTAAACAATCCAATTATTTTCAATGCGAACAATACAGAATCACAAGATAAACATCATCATCATCCGCATCATCGTCAACATCATCGTCAGCATCATGACGCTGATGCTGATGACGATGATGATGATGATGATGCGGATGCCGATAACGGCGATGGCGATGACGCTGATGAAGATGAATTGAAATCATTCAACATTGACAACTCACATCAGTCGAATTTTCTAATCAATCGTACTAGACATAGTTCCGGTGAATCATCGATCACTTCGAAATCCCCTGTATCACCAATAGTACTATCATCATCTGTAACACCGAATAGATCAATGTTTAAATCTCCTCCTCCTCCTCCTCCTCCACCACCACCTCCACATCCGGCTGCACTACCACAGTCATCATCATTTCTATCACCCCCAACATCATTGTCATTTCCATTTCCTACTATTCTTCCGCCATCCATATCAAATTCATCATCATCATTACACGATGACGACACTATGACATCATCATTCTATTCCTCATTAATGAAAAAAATCAATCCAGAACAATTACATCATCTCATGAAAATGTTGCAGGAAACAATGTCAACTAGTTCATCATCATTATCGTCATCATCATCATCATCATCATCATCATCTACATCGATCTCAACCACCACAACCACCACAACAACACCATCAACCACAGCATTCATGAATTCTACATTCAATTCAATGTTCACTGGTTCAATGTTCAATAAGCAGCCATCTTCTTCCATATCAATGAATTTATTCAATAGCAATAATGTTGTTGGCAATCATCATGATGTATACAATCCTATGATGAATGATTATCATTTACTACAAGAGGATTATTCACATTGTTGTAATCGTAATAATCAACAACAGTATTATGGTGATTTACGAGATTATTTGAATTATCCAACTCATTGGTCAGATAATAGTAATAGTAATAATAATAATAATGTACTACTTATGATGTTAATGATGATGTTGATGAAACGAAACATTGACTCGTTGACATCAACACCAACACCACCACAGTGCTTCACGTCATCATCACCCTCGACATCATCATCCTTGATGACAACCATGTCACCATCCTCATCGTCATCAACAACAACGACAACACCAACAACAGCAGGTGTAATCAATCAACCAGTAGATAACCATGATAAATCAAATCGACATTGTTATTATCCTACATTGCATAGTGGAAATTATGCCAACAACACTACTGCTTGTGATGATGATGCTGATGATGATCGTGTCTGGCGAAAATCTTTCAAATGTTGTCATACAATCAATAATGATCACAGTGATGATGGAGGTGATGATGATCATCATCATGGAGATAATTTGAAACACAAATTGCATTCATTCAATCTAATTGCGGAGAAATTAAATTTTCGTGATAGTAGCGATTCAAATACTACTAGTAAAACTACTACTATCAATAGTAGTAGTAGTAGTTGTTGTGGTAGCAACAAGAATACTAATACTACTTATAATCATAATCATAATACTAATCATAGTAATACATATCAATCATCGAATTCATTAGTGATGAATGATTTATTACTAAATGAAGCATCCAGTCAAGGTGATTCATTGATTCAACGAACTGAATTGTTAGACTCTGATCTGTGGAAACATTTTCATAGTATGACTACTGAAATGGTGATTACTAAATCAGGACGGTAAGTAGTATATTTGTGTATATTTGTGTGATATTCCGTTTTAATGCAGTGAATGTTTTCAACGTCCAATGTCCAAAGTGTAACAGGACTATCAGTGTTTGTTTTATTATTGAAATAGTTAATTACTTATTTACTTACTTACTTGCTTACTTACTGTTGGGGACTTTAAATCCTCAGAACTCTCATTTTGGGTTTTTTATGTTTTCGCGCATGAGCGGATCAGGAAGTCTTTGTCTGTTATTGGTTGATGATGTATTATTTATTGTAGTACGTTATTTGTGTGGCTCTGCCAAGGACGTTTCTTTCATGTATAAATAAACTCGATTTGTGTGCTTATCAACCTCATACTTTCTGGGTGCTTGTAGAATACACTTTCTGCGTCTTGTCAAGACTTCTTCTTCTACTTATTGGGGCCCTGGGGATGCTCGGATTAGAGTAGCCTACCGTGTCACTGGATCATTGGTTGTCGCTCTCTTGTTTACCGACTAAGGTGAATTCGATGTTGTAGTTTCAAGCATATCAACTGACAAGCATAACACTTACTTATGTTTGTTACTACTAATGGAGTATAAGCAGCCAACCAGTGAATTATTTGTTTTGGTCAGTGTTTTTTTTTATAGCAAGTTAGATAGGGTCGCTAACCCTATGCTCCCTCACCCTCCTCCTTTATCCAGGCTTCGGGCTAACAGTGACCGTGGAAGTGCTGCTCCAGGCAGAGTTTTTATTTAAAATTGTTGCATAAACGGTTACATCAATAAACACGATGAGAAGAAAAACCTGGTTGATCTCTCAAACTTAAGAAACTTCACATTTAAATTTGCATACATCTTGTAGTAAGTAGGTGTACAAATAATATTTTGCGCCTACAAGGCTTGTTCCATCTTTTATCTGACTATCCAGTATTTACATTACGCGGTTGTGAAGATTGTTAAGTTACACATTTTTGAAACCATGAATCGATCAATGTTATTAGACCACCATTATAGAAACCTGGAAGCACTGCAAGACGGCCATTTCGTCCTGGTATGGGACTCCTCAGCAGTGGCAGTGCCCATCCACGACTCCTGAACAACCGCAATGTTTAATCATGCCTGATTGCATGGAGTTCGGTCATTCGCTTAGCTTCTCTTCTACACTTCGTATTCTCATGTCTGTCTGTGTGCATGACGGACTACCTGACTACCTGAAATAAATTTATCCAACTGGATCCCTATCTGTCTTCTTATTATCATCGTTGCATAAACGGCACTCGCCTGTGTACTACATTGGAGTTAGATCGGGCGGGGAGGGGGCTTCTAAAATGCTGATCCCCACTTCGGATTTAACAAAGCCACTATAAACTGTGATCATACTTTGATAGATTTATTCCATTTGAAGAGCTATGTATGTATGCATGCAAGTGTGTGTGTGCGTGTGTGTGTGGCGGGGTGTATTCACAGGTACTTGAAAGTAACCACAAGCAAATCTTTGTATAGTAGGTCATTTCCATGACACACACGCAGAATTACATTGACTGACTTCATTGCATGATAGATATCCCGTTGGTTATCAGTCTTTTATCTCTATCACCCCACATTGAGTTACGTATTTAAACATGTATAGTCAAAACAGTTAATTGTCCTACATTTGATTTGATCAGTTAGACAGTTTCCAATCCGATGCTCAACAATTCACAATATAAATTGTCAAGGCCAAAATTTTGCATTGGTTTTTGCAGGCAAACCAAAGCGACTGACTGACTGCTCACGTGTTACCCCATACATGTTAACTAGTTTTTATATTTGAAAAATTACTCATAGTCTATAATGTGAAATTAAATTTTATAAATAAAAATTTTACATTTTTTTCTTTTAAAACAAAACTAACAAACAAACACATTCAATTTCAACTTTGCATTACGGGGTTGTTGTGAAGATTGATTGTTAAGTTACACATTTTTTTTGAAACCATGAATCGATCAATGTTATTAGACCACCATTATAGAAACCTGGAAGCACTGCAAGACGGCCATTTTGTCCTGGTATGGGACTCCTCAGCAGTGGCAGTGCCCATCCACGACTCCTCCTGCACCCCGCCAAATTCGAACCCTTCGGTATTGTGCGCGAACGCCTAACCATCGGACCACTGAGCCGGTGGTATCTAATGGTGTTAATGTCTAACTTCGCTTAATTCACGGAGTTGCTCAACCTCATACCATAGTCTTCGGTAGTAGTTATTGTCTACGCCCGAACAGGTTGAATGTTATTGTATAAATCAACCCGAACAGGTTGAACTCACACTGGTCACCTGTTCCCACTAGAACTCATGGGAGAAGATTCTCCTCACGAAGCTAGTCACTACTAATGAGTACAGGTAATTTGTATTACGGGCTTGTTGTGAAGATTGTTAAGTTAAGTTACACATTTTTTTTTGAAACTATGAATCGATCAATTTCAACTGTCAATCATGTCAAACTTCACTATTGAGTATATCTCCTCCTAGTTGAAGAATAAGCGAAATGTTAAATGTTATTATCATCATTGAATTTTGAATCAATTCCAATGGATAGATAGATATAAGGGCATTCATTATATGTATGAGTTTAGCGACAGGATTGAACATTGAACAGTAATAATGATACTTAAAAATCTGTGAAATCTTGAAAAAGAAAACAGAAAACTATGTCTGTTTTACTTAAATCACATGATCATATGAATAAATTTTTTTTTTTGTTTCAAATAAACGTTTCTAATTTCTGCTGGATTAGTTTTTCAGTTCATTGTGTTGTATTGGAAATTGAACTATTGAACAATGTTCAATAGTTCAATATATGTTTAGAAAAGCAATTTTTTTTACAATAAACAAATGAATATAATTATTGTTGTGAGATAGAATTATTTTATATGATTTATACAATAACATTCAACCTGTTCGGATGTAGACAGTAACTAATACCGAAGACTGTTGTGTATGAGGTTGTGCAACTCCGTGAATTTGATCAAGTTAGACATTAACACTGTTAGATACCGGCTCAGTGGTCCGATGGTTAGGCGTTCGCGCACAATACCGAAGGGTTCGAATTTGGTTGGGTGCAGGAGTCGTGCGCACTGTCACTGCTGAGTCCCATACCACTGAGAAGACTGAGGCAGGCGCGATAGATTGTATTATGCATATTTACACTCTTAGTCAATTAAAACCGAAAACATTACATTGAATACTCTATTTGCACACCATCTTTCAGTCGTGACTTCCAACAATCCATCATCATTCTTCCATTCCTGTTGTTGCTTCCTTTCCTTCCTGTTGATACTACTCCATTTACTTCTTGCTCCATTTTGCTTTCCGTTTTCCTCTTCTGACCGTGAGACTTTTTCTTTCACGTCCCTTCTTATACTACTACTTATATCGTTCGTATAAGTAGCACAAACCACACCAGGACTTGACGGCCGTCTTGCAGTGCTTCCAGGTTTCTCTAATGGTGGTCTAATAACATTGATCGATTCATGGTTACAAATAAGACTTATACAAGTATTTTAATATGATATTTAAATATGAGTTTTCATAAGTAACTAACTAACTAACTGACTGACATGTCTTTCGACGAATTTTTATCAATAACTGAGTAAGTACAATTGAAGTACTGGTTCACATTTATTTTTTTTCATATTGTAAAACTTCTTACAAAAAAAAGAAAAAAATAAGTAAACGTACACATTCAATAGTGAAGGTTTTAGCATACAATAAATAGTGCACAAGTTTCAATGAGATTTTGAATTTTGACAGTTGACTGACTAGTGAGTGTATCACAAGTTCTAATATAAACAATGCATGAAGTTCAAAGTTCAAAATGATGATAAATTAGTAAAGTAAGTAAGTATATGATGAATATTGAATCAAAATTCAATGTAACACATTGAACACACATTGAATTGACTGATGAATTAGTATCCAGTAATTGTTTATTTTTTCTAATATTAAAAGTCAATTTTTCACTGACAAATGGACTGAGTCATGTTAGTAGATGTAGACTACCTGGTTGGGGTCGGCGAGACGAAAGTCACCAATGGTTAGAGACCTTGAACGACATGGCTCAAAATCGTTTGTAATGATGCAAGTGCATCCACTATTTGTGTTCTCTCAAATCCTAAACTTCTGCATTCGTCAGCACCTCTACCTTTGTCTTCCTAACCTTATCTCACTGAATTATACTTTTTGATTAATATCTTCAAACCCTAGTCTTCTTCATTACCAATAATACCTCTACTATCTTTATCACTATGGAATTTGATTTGACATTTGCATCTCTGTTTGCTAATGTGGTATGACAACATGAACTTATGTACATACGTACGAAGTTATACGTTGCAACTGACTGACTGACTAACTGACTATCTATATTTCAATGTTAATATTAAGTCTATACTAAAGTATCTTTCACTAAAAAACATTTCTATAACAGAAATGTCTACATCAAGGATACACAAAGCCTAATCAACAATTCAGTCAAGAATATCATCAGTAGGGTAATTTAAGCCTTATCAACACGTCTTTATCTAGTTAGCCAGGCCGGGGACAAACGGATTACATTAGCCTATCGTGTCATTATATCATTGACCTTTGTTCCCTGTACCGATTAAGGTGAACTCGTAATAGCGTTCAAGCTTATCAACTGACGAGTAAATCAGTTAATTTTTAAAGTACTTCGTCATGAGCACCTATTGGGGTGGTTACTGTCGGTCCCAAGCCCGACTAGAAGAGGAGGGTTAGGTATGAAGTAAGTTACACCATCCCGTAGACTAGCAGCTCATTTAAAAAAAAACACTAATGGGGAAAAAGGTCGAATCATTTAAACGCTGCCCTGAAAGTTAGTTGTAAGACCTTCATTTATACGAGTTATGATGTCTCATGATGAAAGTTATGAGACGGATGACTTTTCTGACAATCAAAGCAACCGTTAACGTACGTACGTACACATGGAATGCTGTTTATACATTGTGGGGGAGACTGGGAGAGTGATCCAA